AGACACGTGTTGGACACGGACACGCGTCGGACACGTGGTGGACACATGTCCGACACGCATGGGAGAGTGTCCCAATTTTTTTTAATTTTTTTACATCCGGACACGTTTTGGACACGTTATAGACACGTTTGGGACACGCGCGAGGGCAATTTCACAGTTTACTAAAATTTTTTGGGGTCAATTTGAAAATAACCAAAAACAGATTAAATTTGCCCTAATCTCTATTCGCCCTAATCTCTTCGAATCGACTATGGAATAGAAGATAAACAGTTGAGAAAGAGAGAGGACCTGATTTCGTCGTACGTCGTCTCTCGTCGATCGTTGCTCCTCGTCGGTCGTCTGTCGTCGGCCGTCTGTCATCAGTCGGCGACCTTCTTCGTGCGATCTTTAGTCGATTTGCTGCTTCGTTAAGGAAGGTACGACTCTTCGATCTTCTTCGATCGCTCCCTCTCTCTTCGATAGCTCTCTCTCTGTCTCAGCCTCTTCTTTCTTTTATTTCTCTCTTCGATAGCTCTCTCTCTCTCTCTCTGTCTCAGCCTCTTCTTTCTTTCTTTTATTTCATTTTTTTTTCCTTTTATTTTGATTTTGATTTTGATTTTATTTTTTTTCTTTTATTAATTTAATTTTTTCTTTTCTTTTTCTTTAATTCTGATTCTGATTTTGTTTTATTTTATTTTTTGTTTTATTTTATTTTTTTTATATTCTGATTTTATTTTTTCTTTTCTATTATTTGAGGATATAATTTTAATAATGTATGTTTATTAATTTTATTATAGGGACCAATTATTAATTCTGAAACAATGGCTACGGGTGGTAGTTCTAATGATATACCTGATGATGATTTTGATGAGAATAAACCATTGTGGAAGTATATAACTAAATTAGCAAAACCTGGGGAAGGAGGAAGAAATTGCCAATTACAATGTAAATTTTGTAATAATACTTTCAAAGGTTCATATACAAGAGCAAGGGCACATCTATTAAAACTTCCAGGAAAGGGAATTGGTGGTTGTAAGAAAATTACAAGTCAAAAACTTTCACAATTGCAAAATGAGAATGATGCTGCTGAGCTGAGAATTAAAAATGCTCTTCCCAAAAATGTACCATTGCCTCCTTCCACTGTATCAGTGGGTAGTAGTTATGCTTATGAATCAAAGAAGAGGAGAACATGTGAGAGTGGGAGTGGGAGTGGGAGTGCGCCTGGGAGTGGGAGTGGAAGTGCTATTGAGAAAGCATTCAACTTGAAGGATAGAGAGCAATTGCATTTTGAAATTGCTAGGATGTTCTACTCGGGGGGGGTACCTTTTAATCTTGCAAGAAATCCTTACTATGTTAGCTCTTACACATTTGCTGCAAATCATAATATTCCTGGATATTTGCCTCCCGGTTATAATTTGTTACGAACCACATTACTTCAAAAGGAGAGGGCAAATATTGATAGATTGTTGCAACCAATTAGGGGTACATGGAAGGAAAAAGGGGTGAGCATTGTTAGTGATGGTTGGAGTGATTCTCAAAGGAGGCCTTTGATTAATTTTATGGCGGTGAGTGAAAGTGGGCCTATGTTTATTAAGGCAGTTGATTGTTCTGGAGAAACTAAAGACAAATATTTCATTGCAAATTTGATGAAAGAAGTGATTAATGAGGTTGGGGCTAGTAATGTTGTTCAAGTCATCACGGATAATGCTCCTAATTGTAAGGCAGCCGGACAACTCATTGAAGCTCAATTCCCTCATATTCTATGGACTCCTTGTGTGGTGCACACATTAAATCTAGCTTTGAAAAATATTTGTGCTGCAAAGAATATTGAGAGGAATGAAGTCACATATGAAGAATGTAGTTGGATTACTGATATTGCCGGAGATGGTTTGATGATTAAGAATTTTATCTCTAATCACTCAATGCGATTGGCTATGTACAATGAATTTGTGTCATTGAAGTTGCTTTCGGTTGCCGAAACACGATTTGCCTCTACAATTGTTATGCTCAAGAGGTTAAAGCTTATAAAACGTGGTCTTCAAGCAATAGTAATTAGTGACAAGTGGAATTGCTATAGAGAGGATGATGTTGGGAATGCAAAATTTGTGAAAAAAAAGATTTTGGATGATGTGTGGTGGGATTACATTGATTATATTCTTTCCTTCATGGGTCCTATATATGACATGCTTAGGGCTTGTGATACGGACAAACCTTGCCTTCACTTAGTATATGATATGTGGGACTCAATGATAGAGAAAGTGAAGATGTCAATTTATAGGCATGAAGGGAAAAGAATAGATGAGGAATCTACATTTTACAATGTGGTGCATCAAATTCTCGTGGATCGTTGGAATAAAAACAATACTCCTCTCCATTGTATGGCACATTCATTGAATTCAAAGTAAGTACCACATTTAAATTTGTTTTACATATTTCATTTTAATGGACTTATCTAGTCTTTCTTGAAATAATTATTTTTCCTATTATGGATTGTAGGTATTATAGTGATGAGTGGCTCCATGAGGATCAAAATAGAGTTCCTCCATATAGGGATGAAGAGGTGACACGTGAGAGGAGCAAGTGTTTTAAGAGGTATTTTGAAGATATTACGGAGCGAACCAAGGTGATAACTGAGTTTGGAAAATTTTCGGGTTATGTTGAAGCATTCTCAGAGTATGATTCCATTCATAATAGGTGGCACATGGATCCTTATACTTGGTGGTGTGCATATAGTGCATATGCACCATCTCTTCAAAAACTAGTTTTGAGATTGCTTGTGCAACCTGCCTCTTCATCTTGTTGTGAGAGAAATTGGAGTACTTACTCCTTTATTCACTCAGTGAGAAGGAACAAGATGGTCCCTCAACGCGCGGAGGATTTGGTGTTCATTCATAGCAATCTTCGTCTTTTATCAAGGAGGAGCTCCCAATACTTGCAAGGAGAGACAAAAATGTGGGACATTGCCGGAGATAACTTTGACTCACTTGATGATATTGGAATGCTTGGGATAGCTAACCTCTCACTTGATGAACCGGCTATGGAGGCGGTCCTATTTACAGATGAAGGAGAAGATGGAGGCGGTGGTGAAGATGTTGTAATAGTTTCCTCTACTTAGGTTGATATTTATGGATTTTGTAATAGTTGTTGGTACATTGGATAATTTTATATTTTGTGGTTTGATTTTCATGCATTTTGTAACAAATGATGGTTGGTAGCTTCGAATGACATGTTATGTATTGATGGAATGCTATTTTATGTTAATTGTGAACGATATATATGATGTTAAATCAATTAAATGTTTATTTTTTATAATTTTAATAGTGTTATTTTGTATATTTTATTACCTTTATTTGATTTTTTTAAATAATTTTATGACATATAATAAATAAAATTAATTATATATATTGAACGTGTCCCCGGCGTGTCGCGTCCCCTATTTTTTGAAAATTTGCGTTTTTGCGTGTCTGTGTCGTGTCGCGTGTCCGTGTCCGTGCTTCTTAGAGTATAAGGATTATGAAATCTTGCACTTGCAACCATTCAAATTGATTGTTTTGAATAAATGATTAGAAAATCAAAATGTTCAATGTTGTCATCACTCCGTTGTCCACATCGAACTTATTAGGAATAATAAACTTAATGTGAACTTCATTTTTCTTGTGAAGAGCAAAAGGTTCAATTGCATTCACATCATTTTCTTTGGCTTCCTTGGCTTTAGAACCTTGATCTTGGCGATCTTTCATGCTTTCTTTAGTAAGCAGTTAATTTTTGCCTTCGTTTCTTCAATATCCTCAATATTAGCAACTTGTTCATCTTGCTCGTTCATAGTTTCTTCAAAATCTTTTACACTATCAACCTTTTGCTTCTGGATATTAGTCTTTTGTAAAACAGCAACCAACAGTCCTTCCATGGAAGCTTTCAATTCATTCAAAGTTGCCTTGATAGTATGCACATCACTCTTTATTGTTGCAACATCCTCCTTAATTATCGCAAAATCCTCCTTTAACATTGCAACATCTTTGCTAGTAGCTCTATAATTTGTTAACAATGTTTTAAACTTTCAATTTAATTCAATGCTTGTCAACATTGTAATAAAGAAAGCAATTTCATCAAAAGATTGGTAAGGAACAAGGTATGATCTTGAAGCTCTGATACCAAACTGATGTAGGACAAGTAGGGATTACTTTCCTACAAGTTATGGGCCCGGTTTAAGTATATTGGCAGCAGCAACAATAGACTTATAAGGCTGGATTTGGTAGGATTTTGTGGCTGCAAAAGTATTTAAAAAAAAAAAAAAAAAGAGTTTAAAGGTTTGTAAAAGGGTAGGATTTTGGAAATGAAAACACAAGTGTTTAGGGGATGTTGGATGGCTGTTCTAAGCACTATAAATAGTGAAGTGAACAGTGTTTAGGGGATGTTGGATGGCTGTTCTAAGCACTATAAATAGTGAAGTGAACAGTAACCTTGCTAGAGAGAGAGAGAGAGAGAGAGAGATGCTTCATCGTCACAAGGGATAGGCTAATCACACAAATACAATATCAAATTTTCATAATAATAACTGTTCGCCTTAATCATTGAGATTACACATATTTATAGGCTAAAGGCTCCTAATTCTATGAGGACTATAACTCAAATTTAGAAACTAAAAATATTTAACAACTACTAATATTCTAGACCAACTATAACTTCCAATTCTATTTCAATCATAATTGAAAACTTTAATGACTTCTAATTCTACTTCAATATCAAAATAGGAAACTTAGACTTTTGACCACTAAAATTATTTTAGACATAATAAAAATCCATATATAATGACCCATTTAATAACTTGACCCAAAATAAAACCCGTGGGCGACCCTTACAACCCATGTCCAACAATTATTAGAATTACCATTATACCCTTAATGACTAAAACCTACTATAATGACATGAAGACTCAAAATTATTCCAAATCTTTAATTTTTGATGCCTTATATTTGCTTCGTGTGAAATTCTAGATTTGTTCTTTTTCTTCTTTCTATGATCATCAGAAGGTCTACATGCGTCCGCCCCCTTGCCATCTCGTCTTCGTCGTGCTTGGTATAACTGTTTTCACCCTTGTGCCCAGGATTTTACTTTGTTTCTCCTTCACACCACTGCTAGTTTCGTTGCCCTGTTACATTATGTAGGTGATATGATGATCACTGACTCTGACTCTTTAGCTATCTCTGAGGTCAAGCAGCATTTCTTCCGCACCTTTGAAATGAAGGATCTGGACCCATTGCGGTATTTTCTTAGTATTAAAGTAGCTTCTTTTTCCAAGAGCTATTTTCTGTCTCAGGCCAAGTATGCAAATGAGGTTATTCACCATGCCGGTCTTATTGACACTAAGATTTTTGATATCCCAATTGAGCTTTATGTAAAGCTTAATACTACTAATGGTGTCCCTCGGGATAATCCCACTTTATATTGAGAGTTTATGGGTTGCTTAGTCTATTTGACAGTTACTTGCCCTGATCTTGCCTATGCTATTCATGTGATTAGCCAATTCGTTTTTGCTCCTCATTCTACACATTGGGCTGCTTTGGTTCAGATTCTTCGCTATCTTCGGAATACTATATTTCAGGGCTTACTGTTGTCTGCTACTTTTTCTTTGGACTTGGTGCCTTATGTTGATTCTGATTGGGTGGTGATGTTATTGATCGAAAGTCCACATTTGGTTTATGTATATTTCTTAGCGATTCCTTGATCTCTTGGAAAAGTAAGAAACAAACTGTTGTTACTCGCTCTGCTGAGATTGTTTGGCTTTGCTGTCTCTTGTCTGATTTGGGTGTCCCTTAGTCTTCTCCGATCTCTCTCTATTGTGACAATCGCAGTGCTATTCAGATTGCCTATAACACAGTCTTCCATGAGTGGACGAAGCACATTGAGATTGATTGTCACTTGTCCGTCAACATCTACAATCTAGCTCTATCTCCCTTCCTTTCATCTCTTCAGCTCTGCAATTTGCTGACTTCTTTACCAAGAGACTAACATTATTACTCTATTTCAGTTTCTTCTTAACAAACTCTCAGTATTTTCTGCTAAAACACCTTGAGGTTGAGTGGAGGTGTGAGAATATTAGGTTTTATGTATATATGGTAGTATATATTTTTGGTATATTTTAGGGATTGAGTAATTATTCTAGTTTCCTTTTCAGTCTTAGGGTTAGATTGTTATATAAACCGATGTATTACTATATTACAAACAATTGAATATGTAGACTTTATTAAGAAATTTTACAGCAGTATCTCAGACTTCTGCGAAATAGACCGCTTCAGCGACCAATCATGCGCTCGAGTGAAGAATGAATGCTCTCAATATCTGAGGTTTCGAAATTCAATACTGGAAGGGTCAAAAGACCGCTTGAGCGGTGAAACTTGCGCTTGAGTGAACAGTCTAAGTTGTCTAGGTGACCAAGCCACCAACGGACATAACTCTCTCGTCCGAACCCTGTTTAAAGTAAACCAAGGGTCTAGAATGAAGCCCCAACAACAAGCAGTCCAAAGGTTGTAGTCCTACACTAAGACGATAAGCTAATTAAAGTTATAAGATCAATTAAAAGGGTTTCATTTCTAACAATAAAGGAGTTAGATGTAGTTCCAATGACTTAAAGAGTACGAATGTTACACTTTCTCTTTTCTAACCCTGACCCTAATCTCTAGCACTTTACATTTCAACTCCCTCTTAAATCCAAGACAATTTGTAAGGATTCAAATGCGTTTCTATTGCCAACCCCAATTTTGGGACAACTTCCCTGAAACTACATTATTGCAATTTCCTGAATCAATAACAACTCCACACCTTGCCACAATAGTGCAGGTAGATTGAAGGATGTTATTCCGAACTACCAGTAAGTGAACCTCATTACCTTGCACGAACTCCTTATGACTGTCATTGACAGTATCAAATCAAACGGAGGGTCTTGCTCAGCATCCACTGCTTGTCGATGTAGACTTCACAGTCCACGAAAAACCCTTTACCATAAACACTATCCTTTTAGAAATCTTCCATTCTGTTCCTCACTTAACCACACTTAAAAGTGTTAGGCCACTCTTTGTTGATTCCAGTTAGGTTGACCTCTCATGTTAGCCCTCTTGGTTGTAGCCTGTAGGATACAATTACATTTTGGGACTAAAGGGTTGGACAAAGAATTGAACAATTATTTTTGAAAAAAAAGGTTCACTAAAGACTAAAAAAATAAATTCAATTTTTTTGTTTTATATTTTTTATTTTTTGCATCTTTAGTGAATTTTTTACATCACACATGGAGCTGATGTGTTGGTGATGTGGCAGATTCTGTTATGGGAGTTAGTCTAGGAATAAAATGAGAAGGATTGCAAACATGAAGGGCCAAAGTGGAAAAAATCAAACTTAAAGGGCCAAAGTGGGAAATGGGTGAACGTTTAGGGGGGCAAAGTGTAATTTACCCAAATACTAATAAAAGCAAAATGTTAGAGAATTTATGATTACATTTAAATCATTAAATTTTGGTATAATAAATGTAATAATGAGTATAAATATTATAACCAAAATGTTTAAACCACAGTAAAAATTATAACAGCAAAGAATTGAACAATTATTTTTTATTAAAAATTATCTAACAGAATTTACCATAAAGTGGAAGATTGGTGAATACTTAGTCTGCTAACTATTGTACTTCAAAATTGAGAATAGAAGAAGAATTGTAGGTTGGTTAATCTTCTTCCGGAAAGAATATCTAATGAACTTGCAATTGAGCCAAGGGATGTTCACTTTCTGCCTCATTGGCTGCAGGAGTGGACCAGATATTCTATATTATGACCTAATGCATAAGCTGAATATCTGAATGCTAGTTGGTGTCACAATCTGAATGTAAAATTCTTGTCTTGGGTTTTGATTAATCCTTCTTTGGACATCAAGTTCAATTGGAAGTTCAAAATATGATTCAAAATTCTCGAGACGAGTGAACAAAAGCAAGCTGCGGCGAGGAAAAGAAAAACAAGGTGCTGAAATGAGTTGACAGTATAGTTCTTTGGGACAATTATGATGGAGAAAAGTTATCAACCATCTTGGATGGATAACCCCATCTATGAGAAAGAGCTTCTCAATAATAAAGCCCAAAAGCAATTTTTATGAGCTTTGTTTTTATTTTTGAAATGAATTCCTGAAGGTTTTCACCCATATCATCACGGATGAACTTAAACCAACTGATTGATTCAACGAAGGACATTAAGTGCCTCAGTGTTCACGTAGGGAACATGCACATTCCACCTAGTGAGCTATGGGGTGGACCAAATATTCTGTATATGAAGACCCAATGTTTAAGCTGATGCAAAATCTGAATGCTAGTTGGTGTCAAAATCTAAGAAAAGTAGGGTCTAAGAAGATACAATTGGTTTAATCCACTTTTGGTGAGGATTTAACTTGGGGGTAAGTTGTAGATAAAAATGTTGATTTTGAAAATGAAGGTAGAAAGCTTTAATTGTGTTAAAGAGCTCGTATTTTCTTTTATAAACTTTTGGAGTATATTTGGTGGCATATTTTACAATGCTTGTACCGTTTACTTGCGCTAACTATCCATTTCTTGGGAGACTTAAATTGAAGATGGGCTTGTTGATGCAGTGTCACTTGTGGGACAATCAGCTCCCCCTGAAGTCTTGCAGAAGATGACTTATCTCGTCATAAGGCATCCCCAAGTCAAGCATATTGACACAGTCCGCGCTTACACTTTTGGTGTTCTGTATTTTGTAGAGGTTAGTAGTTGAAATAGTAGAGTTTTCCGTTAATGGTTTATTAATGGAGAATTGGCTCCAAGCACTCCTTTTTCTTGAATGCTTTGCTAGTGAGAGAGTATAGTCACGATCATGTTATTTCTTATATCTTTGTTGAAAACATAGGTTGACATTGAACTTCCAGAAGAGTTACCGTTGAAAGAAGCACATCTCATAGGAGAGACCCTGCAGATGAAGATAGAGAAACTTCCTGAAGTTGAAAGGGCATTTGTTCATCTTGATTATGAGTGTCAACACAAACCAGAGCACTCTGTTCTCAGTAGGCTGCCCAACAGAGAGGATTGATTTTTCTTTCAGTTCATGTCAGTTACTACTTACATGCTTCAAAATTTGGCCTTCTGGAAATTTACTTGATAGGAATGTTTGGGATAGTAAACGACTTTCTGGTTTGAGCATGAGTGGACTTTGAATCTGCTTCCATATTTCGGATCTAATTGTTATATATAAGTCACTGTCATGTGCCTGTTGTATGGAGAAAACTGTATAATGAGTCTTCTGAAATACTAGCAAATGAGGCGATTTATTCGGCTGCTTTCAGTCTTCAATAAATTAGTAAAGGCAATTTTCAGTGATACCTTATTTTTAAGTACTACTAGTTTTGTTTTTGTTTTTGTTTTTTTCCCCTTCTTTATCTTTTTTATATCTTATTTTTTGAAAAGAAAAAAAAAAATTGTTATCAAACAGTGGTTAAACAATTTTAAATATCGCTGTTGAATGATATTATGCATTACTTGGAGTTGAAATGACAAGGGTGGGAGTATCATTTGACTTGTTAACTGAGCAGTAATGAATGAGTATTTTTGCTTAATTTCACGTGTTTGCCACTCATCAACATCTATAATTTTTATTAATATTTTAATTTTTCAACTTGCAAAATTAACTCGCCTCCCATTCCACACCCGCCTCCCTTTCGTCAACCTCCGATTTGTCCCGCCCCCGAGATGATACAAGGAGAGGACATATTTTTGTAAACCCTCCCTAAACTTGACCCGTGACCGTTAAGTTCCATAAGCAATCTAATTTTTGATATCTTTCTTTTATTCCTAGACACAAAATAGTAAATCCCGTGCACATGTGACACTTGTGTCATGTTCAATTAGTCCCATGTTCAGAATTTAGAAAAAGAGAGAGAAAAAAATGGATAGTTCACATGAAGAGTGCTCGAGAGCTATTTTGATTGATAATTTATTTAATATGTATTAAAAAATTAAATTTGTAATATTTTGATGTATATATTAATTAAGACTGAATTAATGTTATATTTTAGAGCACGGCCTATTAGGATGACTTTTGGCCTACAGCCCATGACGGTGACATCAATCATTGGGTATTGCTTAGGTTCATTATATCTAAGGTCTATCTTCACACTAGTTATTATAACTTTATCCCTACAAATTATTTTTCTATTTTTATATTTAAAATAAGAAAATTATATACAGGCTCAATTTCTAAATTCATTTTCTAAACTTAGTGATATGTAAGTGATGTGATTCGTTAAAAATTAAAGAACATATGGGAGTGTGTGTTACCTTTAATATCTTAATTGATTGACACATCATTAGATTTGAAAAAATGAGTATAATTTTTTTATCTTGAATAGCAATTGTATTATTAAGAGTGCTGCTATTAACACCCAATGAATTATTTTGGACCCCTTAATTTTTAGCTTTTTTTTATTACAATAGCAACCTCAAATAAAATTACTAAAAAAGACATCATTAAGTTTGGAACATCCCATCTCACAATTAAATTAAACCCACACACCATTATATTATGAATTAGAGTTTATGAGATTACTCACATCCATCACTACCCATCTATCTTCTCCAAATTTCACTTTCAAAACTTATCCATCTTCAAAATCTTGAAAACCTTTTAGTGGCAATATTCTGGCAATAACGGCAGCAACCATTTGATTACTGACACTTCTCCAGCAATGATAATGAGTGGAAGTTTTTTCGAAAATCACAATTCTATGAGACGGGAGGAGTAACAATAAAAGTTCAGAAGAAGTTCATAGTTTTGATGGTGTTCTTAACTCAGAAGAGATTGATCTTGTAAGAGTAAGTTTCTTAAAAAAAATAGCAAAAATAATAAAATTTATTCGTCATTTTTTCAGGACTGAACTCCCGAATATATGACCGAAATTCGAGAACACAGGCTCGAACATTATTTATTTGTTCAGGAACCGGTAACCGAACATTTATTATTTGTTCGGAATCGGTAATCGAACATAATCATCAAAGAAAAAGATGAGGCGGTAGAGAGAGAGAGAGAGAGAGAGAGAGAGAGAGCAAAGACAGTAATCAAACTCGGTTCTTCTTCTTCTTCTTCTTCTTCTTCTTCTTCTTCTTCTTCTTCTTCGTGTGTTTTGTTAGGATTTTTGGAAAAGATGTTTTTTTAGGGTGTGAGGGGTGTGCATTCAATTGAATGGATAGAATATTTTCACAAGGATAATTTTGGTATTATTTGGGGGGAGAAAAGAAACTTTAAGGGTTTAAAAATTTATAAGTGGGGGTCCAAAATAATAAAAAAAATGGTGCTAATAGCACTACTCATTATTAGCACCCCATTTATTATTTTGGACCCCCACTTATAAATTTTGAAACCCTTGAAATTTCTTTTCTCCCTCCAAATAAAATAAAAAATTATCCTTGTGAAAACATTTCACTCATTGAATGCACACCCCCCTACCCCCACACCCAAAAAAAAAAACCCCACTTCCAAAAAAACCCTAACAAAGCCCACGACGAAGAAGAAGAAGAAGAGGCAATGTAATTACTGTCTCTACTGTCTCATCCACCATCGTCACAGTTGGTATACTCTCTCTCTCTCTCTCTCTCTCTACACCCCATATATATATATATATATGCATAATTTCTTAGTTTACTCATAATAATATCTTCTCTTGCAGAAAAAAATTATAATAATTGGTTTAGTTTTCTCAATAAAACAGGTCTGAACCTATGAATAATGTTCGGTTACCTATTTCCGAACAAATAATAAATGTTCAGTTACCGGTTCCCGAACAAATAAACAATGTTCAAGCCTATGTTCCTAAATTTCAGTCATATGTTCGGAAGCTCAACCCGAAAAAAATGACGAATAGATTTTATTATTTTTGCTATTTTTTTCAAGAAACTTACCCTTACAAGGCCAATCTCCTCTAAGTTAAGAACAACATCAAAGTTATGAAACTCCTCTAAGCTTTTATTGTTGTACTCCTCTCATCTTATGGACTTGTGGTTGCCAGAAAAACTTCTACTCATTGTCATTGCCGAAGAAGTATAGGTAATCAAATGATTGCCATCGTTATTGTTGGAATATTGCCACCAAAGGGTTTTCAAGGTTTTGAAGATGAGATTTGGGAAAGATGGATGAGTGGTAATGGAAGTGGTGCTCTCATAAATCCTAATTCATGATGTAATGGATGTGTAGGATTAATTGTGAGATGAAATGTCCCAAAATTAATGATGTCCTTTGTAGTAATTTCATTTGAGATTATTATTGTAATAAAAAAAGCTAAAAATTAGAAGATCCAAAATAATTTATGAGGTGCTAATAGCAGCACTCATGATAAATTATATTTATGGTCTTTAAGTATGCATTTTGTGAGTTTTAATTTTGTCAATTTCGTTAATTAAAATTTTAATTTATATTAATTTAGTCTTATTTAAACTCATAACTTAAATAGTTAATGGAATAATAATAAAATATACATATGACTTTGGTTCGTAAAGTTTTTTAATTTTGTTAATTTATTCTTGAAACATTGATGAGAAAAATAAAACATGACTTATAATATTGAAAGATGAAATTAGCAATATTAGAACCTTAAGGACCAAACTAACACATGACATATATACTTTAGTGATCATATTTAAAATTTATAATTATTTTACTAACAATTTAAACAGTAGTTTAAAATTAGACTAATTTGGTAATTTAAAGGAAAAATAAAATAAAATTAAAATTTAAAGGACTAAAAGTGATATGAAAGGCATGCGTCTTCCTATTTGATCTAAACTTAAAATAAATAAATATGATCTCTGATCAAATGAGTTGATTTTAAAATCTTTCTAATTAAAAATCCTAATATTATATTGTGTATGTTGTTGGTTTTATTGAGGGAAACTACCCTGCAGTGGTCTTTTCAAAAAATTATTGACTAATTAACGAAAAGTTTTTACTTACCCAAAAAAAAAAACGAAAAATTTTATACCTTACACTTTAATATTAATAAAGTATATTATTAATTCGTCCCTGCTCACAGGATACCTTTCTAAATTCTATTTAACTTTACAAATTCTTAAATTGTGTGTTAATTAATTTTTGGATAAATTACACTTTGTATCCTTTTACTTTATATCAAATCTCATTTTGGCCCTAAACATCAAATTGTACTACTTAACCCCCTGCACTTTTGTTCAAGTGTCACTGACCGTTTTGTTAGCCTTATTGTTAACAGAGGTTAGTCACATGAAAAACATGTGAGGATAAATTACACTTTACACCCCTGCACTTTATACAAAATCTCACTTTAGTCCCTACACATCAAAATTGTGACACTTAGCTCCCTAAAGAATAACTTTTGTTAGTCTCACTATTAACAAAAGGGCCAATGTGACACTTGACCAAAAGTGTAGGGGATTAAGCGTCACAATTTGATATGTAGGAACTAAAGTAAGATTTTGTGTAAAGTGCAGGGGTGCAAAATGTAATTTACCCCTTTTTTTTTCTATCAATTTTATCATAAAATTTGTACTTATTTTGCCAGACTGACATGGTATCTCGACAGAGACGCCAACATCCTCTTAGCTATCCAAGTCAACGTCTTCGACTGCAACAGCATAGCTATCGCTGCATCCTTTTTCTCACAAGTTCATGGATGGACCTTCTTCAAGAGTTGGGCTGCTCAGTCTCGAAACAATCATACCAAAACAGTCTCACCCAAATTCAATCTTGCTATGCTCTTCCCTCCTAGAGACATGCCTAGTCATGGTCAAACAATACTCATTACCATCTCCCCAAGACAAGAACACTTGTACTTATGCCACAAATAAATTTGTACTTAGTCCCTATTCTGTGTCTACTCTAAAATCCAAATTTAGTGCAACACACCAACATCTAAATCCAAGTCGTGCTGAGTCTGTTTCGGCTTTCATTTGGAGCAGATTTATGGTCTCTACTCAAGGAGACGAGACTAGTGAGGTTGGAAAGAGGTACAGAGTTGTTCAGGCTGTGAATTTGCGTCCGAGGGCAAACCTGCACTACAAGAAAACATAGTAAAAAACACGGAAGAATTAGCGACGGCGCGCCTCCCGTCGCAAAAAAAGGTTTTTTTGCAACGGCAACTTCAACCGTCGCAAATAAAGCCTTTAGCGACGGCACTGTCCCGTCGGTAATAACTGCCTTTGCCTAAACTTAGTTTTGGTAATGTTGGTGACTGTCTTCTCACGGTGATGATTCTTACCCAATATTTAATTTTAACTCCATTATCTATATATTTTTGGTTGTTACATTGATAGGTAATTTGAGCCAATTTGCAAAAGCAGTGCCATCAATGGAGAGAAGTGAGGAAGATGGGTATGGGTTGGTGAAGCAACAAGGAAAATTGATGGTGATTATGTCAAGAAATTTAAAGGAGATTTTGATGTGGTGGCTAAAGAAATAGAGGGATGGAAAGGAATTGCATTTAATGTATGAGGCTGATTTTGGGTGGGGGAGACCTGTGTGGGTGACAATGGCTGCACAAACTGTTGGGAATGTTGTTGGTCTAATGCCCATTCCTGTGGCCAATGTATCAGGGGAGGCCATGCAAGCAGTGATGAGTATGAGAAGGGATGAGTTGGCAAAACTTGAACCTGATAAAGTGTTCCAAGCATTTGTTTCCCCTACATTGGATGATAAAGTTTTCTTTAAGAGCTCTATGTAGATTTAGGTAACCTCTCTCCTGTACTACTGAATAATTATTGTGATTAATTTAAGTTCCTCTATTGGTATTTTGGGTCTTTATGTGTTTTGTCCTTTTCTTCTTGGTTTTAGTAAAATTGCTTAATTAAGTTCAATCCACGAATATTCATTTTGTTAGGTAATTGCTATCGCATGCACCCCACGGAAATATGGGGTAGAATATTTTTGGGGGTTTCAAGTATTTTGGCTTATTTTGGCAACATAGTTAAATTCTACTTAATTATTTTTATTTTTTGCTTCAATTGCTTTGTTTTTGTGCTTTTCTTTTTATTTTACAAATTATGAGGCTGAGTAATTTGTTGTTAGGATGTGAGTTTGAACTTTTTGAAGAGATATCGTATAACAGCTTAGAGATCATATCTAATCCAAAAACAATAAAAAAAAAAAAAAACATTGATCACAAGGCCTCTGGATCAAACCCAAATCATAAATTTGAATGAGTGACGAACTAAGAATTAAAAATAGAATTAATTACAAAAAATATATTAAGGCTTCATGTATTTTTTTACTTTAAAAAATTTCAATTTTTCAATTTCTAAAACTTAAATCTTGGAGTTCCATCTGTATTTTAATGTGCTCCTTCCATACATCTTCGTGTGCGTAAGGTAACGGAGAATTATTTTGAAATTTAAAGTGAAAAATACTGAGATTTAAAATGAAAAACATGTGAAATCTTGAGATTTTTTTTGTAATTAATTCTAATATTTAAATTTTTTATTTTTTTTTTGTGTATATATAAACTTACATATTTTATTATATATATACATGTGTGCTTGTATATATAGTGAAATTGTTTTATTCAAATTTTGATTCTTCCAGTGATAAAATTTTGATTTCATCTCTAATTTCAATGGCTATGTAAGAAGAGCTACTTGAAATGTAATTAACACTCTTAATTTAAGTCTGCATTAGAGTGTTTAATGTAGTTTTTGTTAACAATTTATGAGATAAAAATAACTTCAAAAAAAAAAAAACAAACAAACAAACAAACAAACTTTTTGATGTTATTTGGTATAACTGATCTGACTTATTTATAATTTTTTATTTTTTATTTTGTAACTTATCTGACTTATTTATAATTTAAACCTTGGGTTTATAATGTTTTTTTTATCTACTTGGTGTTGTTTTTCTTTTAGTGGTTTTTTTTTTTTAACTTCTAAAAAAAAAAAAAAATGGTTCATTACCCAAAAAAAGACACCCAAAGGTTTTATACATTTTTCAATTTAAACCCCAAAAAGATTCTTCATTACCTTACATAGACAAAGATGGACAAAAAGAGCACATTAAAACACGGATAAAACTCTTCCAAAATTTAATTTGCCAAAATTGAAATACTAAAATTTAAAATGAAAAATACGCAAAACCTTGAAAAAAAAATTTGTAATTAACCCTTATCTATACTATTATATTAAATAAACACTAAATTTATTGGTGTCCACATATTCTCCTTATGGCATGTGTCACTTATTTCTCTATCAAAAATAAAAAATAAAATATTACAGTGGTGAAAGAGACTCGAACTTCCAACCATTGATTTGGTAAACACTTTTACCACTTGAACAATATGCACTACATATTTTTAATTTAAAATCAAAATTTATATTTTATAGGTTTAACAGAACACTCATCAGGTCCACACCCACCCACAAGTATATATATATATAAATAAAAATACAGCAACAAGTAGCTAGCTAATAGTCTTCTTCTAAACAAACATAAGCCCCATCAAGCTTGAAAGCCAAAGAGGTCCAGTCGAGTAATATCCCTTGCAAATATCTCCGCAAACATGTTCTCCAACTACACAAAATTGAATTGGAATATGCTGAAAGTGTGTTGTGAGGAATAGCGCCAAGCCAAGAATACAACAGCTCTGATATAAATATGCACAAAATGTTCATAAATGTTCCAGCTCATAAACTCCTACACCATCTCTACTTTTACAATTACAAAATAGGGACCAAATTAGAAGGAAAAAAAAAAAAAAGGAATCTAATAAGGAGATAGAAGAAACACTGATGACATTGATGGCTTGACTTATGGAATTTTTTTACTTTCCACACAAAAAAAACCAAAAGGAAAGAAAGAAAGAAAGAAAGATCAATCAATCTCCTTCCTTCCTACCCCCATGTAAACAGCAATCAAGATACAGTTCGTCCATAGCACACACAAGCTAGATACAGATTTTTTGCCCATTTTTCCTGCACATCAAAATTCGTAACTTAAGGAAACATTCCTCCAAAATAACAATATACATCAAATCAATTTTTATGAATAATAATAAACAAATAAATAAACAGACCCAATTATATGTTCAGTAGATTCACAATATGCTACTGTTCACTGCTTAGTTTTTGAAGACAACAATTAATTCAACATGAGGGTTACCTCGATTTTTAATTCAGACAAATTGGAACTAAAATAAATTTTTAAAAATATAAAAACTATGACAAACCTCACGAAATTTTAGCATTTGTGACGTGCCCACATCGGCATGGTCGGAAAAATTTCTAGACTATATATTGTCAATTCACATCCCTTCCTAGTAACAACACATTTTAAAGCAATGAGGGCTTTAGCCCAAAGCGACAATATTGTAAAGGATTGGCATGGATGCATTACAATTTGTTATCAGAGCGGGTACCTTCACCTGTGCGGATCATACATGGTGGGAGCCGCCTTTAAAATCTATATAAGCCACCTCTTGAATCCAATGAGCAGGAGCAAAGTGCTATGCAAAGCCAAGTGTTGTGTAGAGGGATTTTAAAGTCATGAGGGCTCCACATCAAGACCAAGTTATCAACCGAGGCATGGTAGATCAAGCTCTTATCGCTGAGAGGAATAGTGAGGAATACCAGAAACCCAAGGAGAAAAGGAACAAAATGTGTAGATAGGATAGTTCTCAGGAGACAAGGCTGGAAATACAAACAAGGAGAAGAAAAAATCCACTCAGTTTGGGAGTAAGAGTGCACCCCAGAAGGACTGGTACTACTTACAGAAATGTGGGAATCATAACAATACCAAGCCCTGTTTAAAAAAAATGGTGCATGTTTTAGATGTGGCAAGGTGGGTCATATGGTCAACGATTGTCCTTAACCAAAGGGATTCAAGGCGAACAAAGAAAATATATATGGTCAAAAGCAGAAGGTTCCAGGGTGAGTATTTGCTACTAAGCTCTAGAAGCACAAACACTTCTAAGAAAGTGATGTGTCCATGTCAGACACTTCCCAACACGTGTCTGATGCGCATCCAAGCGTGTCTTATTCCTCTTAGGAATAATTCCAACAGGTCCTATCTATTGAATTTATTCACTTATAAATCCTAAATGATTTTTTTTTTTTTTAAAGTATTTGCCCTTCATTCTAATAATGAGAGAATTTTTAGACTTTTTAGATGTGTTGTGTACTCGTCAAATTATCATTTGGTACTAGTAATAATACTGGGAAATTTATCAGAGTGATAAATGTCTAGGACAATTTGACTTTTGTTTATGAGTTTTGATTTATATTTAGTTTATTTGTGTTAGCTTGAATTGAAATATGATGTGAGATGTGTACGTAAGTGAATTGTATTTTTCTAAAAATATTTTTACAGTGATGAAATTTATCATTGAAAGTTAGTTATTGATCCAGTTCACAAGACTAGCTCGTAGCTGCCCCTATTTTTTAAAAATATTTCTAGACTCAGATACTCTTCGAATACTTGGAGGACATGTGTATTGTTTAGACACCCATGAAACTAATTATAAGTCTGATCAAAATAAGGTATGATACAATGATAAAACAAAATAATATAAATTTATAATAATTAGTGTTATGTTGCAAATTTTTTTTAAATCTTTGAATATATATTCATATATATATATACACTCCATCCGTCCCAAAATATTAGTCGCTTATTCTATTTTCCATTGTCCCGAAATATTAGTGTCTTTTCAAAAATCAATGACTAAAATACTCGAATTTCCTATTTTGCCATTCTTTTAAATTTATTAACATTAGCATACAAAAAAAAAAAAAGTATAATGATGACAATTGTACTACCCAAAAAAAAGTTAAATTTTCCAAAATGATAGTTTTGGAAAGTTAATATTTTTGAAGTGTAATAATTGTACTACCAAAAAGAATTGAATTCCACAAAAGGGACTAATATTTTAGGACGGAGTGAGTATATATTTTGATCAGCAAAACAAAGAAAATATATTATTAAGATTAGAAAAACAGCAATACATTCAACAAGGGAACATAAGGAAAGATTGCATCATTGTCAAAACACCAAATACCAATTAGGTTGGCACTGGGAGCAAGACCAATCATGTGCGCTTCCCCGATGTTTCGTGTTGGCATTTTTTCAAAATTGTAGTGTCAATGTCGTGTCGAGTGTCCATGCTTCTTAGACTAAGCAGGATGCACAAGCATCCAATACTGTGGTGTAACGCACTTTGTTCATTCATTCTCAATTCGCACAAGTTTTGATTGATTCGGGCACTACTCGTTTGTTTGTCATCGTTTTCCTACTAGTTTGACTATTTTACCTGCACCCTGAAGTGCATGATTTATCTGTTGTCACACCTATTGGGGACTCTATATTCCTCTCAAGTTTTGTGGGATTCGAGTAGGACACAAGGAGTTGTCTATTGAGTTGATTCTTTTGGGCATTCATGATTTTCATATAATTTTGGATATGGATTGGCTAGCTGCCTATCATGCTACAGTTGATTTCTTTGCTAACCAGAGTTCATTTGGGAAGGGTCTAGAGATGTTTTTCTTCCTTGTATTATTCTAGCCATGAGAACTAGCGAAACGCTTAGTGAGGGATGTGTGGGTTACATGTTAATGTAAATTGTAAAAGTAAATGTAAATTACCACTACCACCCACTCCACCTACCACCTCCATTACCACCCACTCCACCTACAACCTCCACTACCACCTTCACCTACTCCCAAATCCTCTCCTATATAAATCCTTGTAATATACACAATATACACATCAATCAATAATACATTAAAATACTCGAATTTCCTATTTTGCCATTCTTTTAAATTTATTAACATTAGCATACAAAAAAAAAAAAAGTATAATGATGACAATTGTACTACCCAAAAAAAAGTTAAATTTTCCAAAATGATAGTTTTGGAAAGTTAATATTTTTGAAGTGTAATAATTGTACTACCAAAAAGAATTGAATTCCACAAAAGGGACTAATATTTTAGGACGGAGTGAGTATATATTTTGATCAGCAAAACAAAGAAAATATATTATTAAGATTAGAAAAACAGCAATACATTCAACAAGGGAACATAAGGAAAGATTGCATCATTGTCAAAACACCAAATACCAATTAGGTTGGCACTGGGAGCAAGACCAATCATGTGCGCTTCCCCGATGTTTCGTGTTGGCATTTTTTCAAAATTGTAGTGTCAATGTCGTGTCGAGTGTCCATGCTTCTTAGACTAAGCAGGATGCACAAGCATCCAATACTGTGGTGTAACGCACTTTGTTCATTCATTCTCAATTCGCACAAGTTTTGATTGATTCGGGCACTACTCGTTTGTTTGTCATCGTTTTCCTACTAGTTTGACTATTTTACCTGCACCCTGAAGTGCATGATTTATCTGTTGTCACGCCTATTGGGTACTCTATATTCCTCTCAAGTTTTGTGGGATTCGAGTAGGACACAAGGAGTTGTCTATTGAGTTGATTCTTTTGGGCATTCATGATTTTCATATAATTTTGGATATGGATTGGCTAGCTGCCTATCATGCTACAGTTGATTTCTTTGCTAACCAGAGTTCATTTGGGAAGGGTCTAGAGATGTTTTTCTTCCTTGTATTATTCTAGCCATGAGAACTAGCGAAACGCTTAGCGAGGGATGTGTGGGTTACCTTGCTTCTGTCCTGGACAATTAAAAAGGAAGTCAAAACTTGTGTGATATTCCCATTGTTCAAGATTATTCTAATATTTTTCCAATAGAGCTTCAATGATATCCCTATTGAAGCTTGGAAATGTTTGGATAGAAGTGTTGGAAGAGTATTTTAGCGTCAATCTATAAGAATAAAGGAGAAGCCTAGAATTGCAACAGCTATAGAGGAATCAAGCTAATGTGTCATATAATGAAACTGTGGGAGATAGTGATGGAACGTTGATTGCGTAATATAACAGAGGTGTCAGAGAATCAATTTGAATTTATGCCAAGTAGGTCAACAATGAAAGCGATCTATCTTTTGAGGAGAGTAATAGAAAAGTACAGAGAAAAGAAAAGAGACATTCATATGATTTTTATCATCTTAAGAAAGAATATGATAGAGTGCCTCAGGATATAATCTGATGAGTGTTAAAGAAGAAACGGATGACAAAAGGTTACATTAATGTGATTAGAGACATATATGAAGGTATGATGACCACTATTAAATTGCCTACTAGAGAGACAGGTGAATTTTTAATTGTTGTGGGATTACACCAAGGATCAACTTTAAATCCTTGTAGCGATCCCAGTTTTGCCACTTCGCTGAGTATGTAGGGAGTCGAGCTGCCCGGTCAGCTCGCGGGGGTCCAGGGGGCAGCGCCCCTTGTCGGGTCCAAGGGCAGTGCCCTAGCGGGGTTGACGGGTAGTGCCCCCAAAACAAAAATGCAAAACGCATTCGAAGTTGCTTGTCCGCTCGGTCGATTTGGAGTGTCGGGAGTTGAACCGAGAGAATTTCGGGCTGAGGACCAAGGCCACACGTGCGGGAAATAGGGGAGGGGGTGAAGCACACTGCTAAAAAGGCAGGTGCGAGAGTGAGGTGCAGAAGAGAAGGGCCGCACGTGCGGGGATGAAGGCCACACGTGCGGGAGCACGCGCCGCACGTACGAGAGTAGGTGAGATTCGAATTTTCTTTCTTTTTCCTCTCTCTTTGGGCTGAAGTTGTATCACTTTTGTATACCTCTCTCTCTCTCTAAAAACATTTCTTTTTCCTTCTCTTTACATTTCCTACCAAAAACCTCACAAGATCTTTGATTCCTCCAAATCCATTGGGATTTAGATCCAAGTTCTTCATCAAAGTTGGTTATCTAGGCGAAAGCTACGTTGTGTGCGGTGGAGATCAAGTTTAGGCATCGTTGATTTTGGGGTTTCAACTCTATTCTTCTTCAAACTTGAGGTAGGGATTTCCTTTGAGTTATATATATGTTTTTGCAAGATCCAAATGATTTTCGAAATCAT